AAGGGCTACAAGAACATGGAATAAGACCCTATCAGATTTGAGGCATCTGGACAAGTTTCACAGACTTTGGGTGAGTTCTCCATAACACGTCGTCGCCTCGTTGCGGCTAATTCTCATGAGGCCCCTACCTAGGTTATCTTATCAAAATAATCCTCGCTGGCATTGATAATCGATCTGTCTATGAGTTAATTCTCTCTATCAGTGTACGAAATTAACGCTAGAAATTCAGCGATTATCAATGCCAGCGAGGATTGGTAACGGCAAATCTATCGGGGTGGGATTAACAGGACAGTCGGGATCGGCTTATCGTTGTTGACTCCGCCTTCGTCTATCAATCAATTTCGAGTCCCAGGAGCGGTATATCCTCTGTGGTTGATAACTCCGCGATCTTGTACAGTTCAGGGTTTTTTTTAACCTCGGTTAATCGCGGACGCCTTTAAGTTCAGCAGCGATGCATTCGATTTGGTGCGAAGCTTGTCCTGCATTGCTTACCGTAATCCTAATTACACGCACAACATTTGCGGAAATTATTTTCAGTCCCAGTGTGAACGAACGATGCCAGGGTTTGCACATAGGACGCAAGGTTTTGAGTTTCCTACAAGTCCGAGAACTTTCACAATGAGACTGTGTCGCTGTTAGGGAGAGGTTTCGTTTGAGGGGTTCCCAATTCATTTTTTGTCTCTCATCTGCAAGATAGTCACTTATCGGCTGCTGGTTCATGACTGAACGCCGACTACTCGTAATATCTCATCGAGAGACTCGTCTTCGAGCTTTGAAAATTCCAACAGCTTGTCCTTTAACAGCTCTTTATTATTTTAGTCTTTTATATTTCTGTTATATCTCGGGTGCATGTGAATACTTTCCTCCTGATTTGTACCACCTTTCTACCGACTTCGCCTGGTCCCTATTTATCAACGGGGAACATGGAATATACTCAGAGTCACAAATGCTCTTGCACCAGGAACTTGTTTTGGAAGACATCAACTTTCTGCGATCTTTCTGAAGAAGTTTATACCCTTGATCCATGTTCTCCATATTCCCCTGGCATTTTCAAAAAAGTACTAGTCGGTTCGCCCGGCATCGCCGGACGATTCATCCAAGATGTTTTTTGAAAATTGTCGAACTCTACCGTTTCCTTCGTTGTATTAACTACCCTCTCCCCTTTATAGATAGTTTGTTGATTTCTATATTCCACCCGCTGAGTTGCTGAGGTGTGCTGAAATGTGTTGGCTTATTCGCTTTTGTATGGCACTGTGCTGAATTTTTTGCATTAAGCGCTACCCGATCGGTGCACACCTTCTCCGTGAGTATCACGCCCTTATTTCATCCCTTGACCCTAGTGACCTTCGCTTATTTTTCCTAATGCCAGGACCCACTCAAACGCACACAAAGCCCATTGTGTGCGGAGTCCAGCCCAGCTCACGCGTGCTCTGAGCATTTTCACCTAGGCCCATCCTTATGAAACGTGGCCCGTTTCCTAAAAGCCTTTTCACGTGATCACCATTTCCTAGGCGGTCAGACAAACGAACTACCAGACAGCTTTTGGTTTATGCATAGATATAACATCAGTCACTCGTGTAGTTGCGCTCTTGAAGAGCTATCGTAGTTCTATAAATAAAGTCTAGTTTTGCAGAAGAGTTCAGAAGTGCTCACAGCTTGAACTGAATGACTGGCATAACCAATTGCGGCAAAAGATTGGACATCAAGATCGGCCACCCTTGAGCGCTTTGCACCTAGTAGAACAGTGATTTACTGTTATCACAGTCAATGTAAAGGGATGGCATCATTTCAAAGAACACTATTCCGTAACAGAAGTGAACAAGAATCGGTTCTGCGCCCTGAAACATTTCATATTTCGGAAGGAGGAGAGGTAACATCGGCGCTTTATGTAATTTTTACTCAGAGCACTGCGGTGTACTCCACTGCCCTTGATTGCGGAAGTGAAGCTAGATTTCCATTGGATTTTGTCCCTAGGGAAAAATTCGGGTAGAACTACTAGGTTATCTTATTCAAACACGTGAAGGCATATATAAAATTGACAGGGAAGCAAAGGGGCTAGGGCCATGAGCTCCTACGTCATTCGAAAGCTTTATACTCGTATTCAAGAAATTTGGTCAAATAGCCGCTGAGGAAAACTCGAGAGACTGAAAAGGGACCTGAGTGGTCAACATCATCGCTGGATTTTCGAATCGGACGTCATACAAGGAAAGGGTGCTATTCAAATTGATCCTGTGATTGGCCAACAATTGTCTGATGTTCTCGAAACGGAAGATTCGGTGCAGAAGCCGAACGAAGGGAGAACAACAAAAATTTGTGGCTAAGAAGAGCCCCCTAAAGTCCATCGTGCACAAGAAGCGCGGGTGGATGAAGTCAAGCATCAGTGGTCTTGTAACAGACTGAACTGTTTCCGAGCTCCTCCGCGCGGATAGCATTCCTACTGCAACCGTTTGTCAAGCTACGCCCAAAAACTCGAGGATGGCCGAGAGGGTATGCGTTTGAGTGCCTCATTTTCTTGCAGAAACACGAGCGCAGAACCGATTCGATCTCTGCAGCAACTGTGTTCTTCTCCTAAGACGTCATCACAACTGTGAAAACGCACGCAATTGAAGGTACTGTGCAAACGCTACTGCAATTTGTCCATCGCGGAAATTGGCATCAATAGCACTTTATTTGCTTTTGTTGAAAAATCGGAGGTGGTAGGGCTCCAAACGCTCTCTGGACACTTGGAGCGGGTAATTGGCAAAAGAGGAGTCTACCCAACTTGAAGCCGCATTACCTTTGTATTTATTTTCCTCCTTGTTTTATTTGAATAGAGATGACCCATTACATCTTCAGTATTTTGATCTCCCGAACAGAAACCTGAACTCCGTTCCCGCAGACGCGTGGCGTCTGTTTTACAAACACCGCCACGACGGAGAACACGTATGGTGCCGACGCCTGTAGTAAGGTTGCAGCCGGATGTCACTTCCGTGCTCGGAGGTTCAAAATACCTCTGGGAAGAAGTTTCAGCGAACTTGATACTCGAAGGTGATTTGGTACAGGTGCCAAGCATTTTCATCCCAGATGAATGTCATATAAGTGTACAGGGATTGAGTTACCACCTCTGGTCTCGAGTTTTTGGCCAAATCTTGATCCTGATCAAGACTCCGAAGAAGTAGTAGTAGAAGAAGCTGAAAGACATTATACAGTCTGGCAACACATTAGAATACTGAAGCACATATTTCAATGAAAAAAGGGAATACTGAAAACCTCTATGAAAATTTGGTCAAAGGCGGGCCGCTACAACGGCGCACAAGTCGCAGTTGCTCGAATCGCCACCAGTTGCGAATGGTGAACGCACTGTGAGATAGTATTGTCATCGTCTCTGTTCCAGTCGCCACTTTGTATTCGTTTTTCACAGTTTCGTTTTCGAATTATTCAAAACTCATTGGTAAATGATAAACAATACGTTTTCGTCATGGATTTCTCGAAGATTTTTCGTTCAGCTAATATTGCGTCGAATCCCTTCGTTCAACAGCCCTTTGCAAACGTTAATTCTCAACAGATTCCGGTGAACAGTGAATTATCTTACTCTCAAGCTTCTGGGACGTGGAACAATCCGTTTGCGGTGCCTTTTGCATTGGTATCTAATCCTTTCACTTGTTCGTTTCCACATATTCTATGTAACTGATTGTACTACTGAATTATAGCCTCGTTACGGTGCTGATGCAGCACATGGTGCGGGAGGTGTAGCACGTCAAAGTAATGCGCCGAATTGGAACCCGTTTGTATGAGGATGTCTTCCGTTCTATTCTTCATAGTGTCTGAGTGATTTATCGCGCTCTAATATTACTGCTTCTAGCCAAACTACCGATTGAATCTCATGCAATGTCTTCTATGAATGAATGCCTCTTTCATTCATTATATGTTTGAAGACTCATTGTGAACTTTTGCGCACCGTTGTATTTTCGACAGATTATTTTCTGTTCTAACTCCGTCTCTCCCTGCTGATAACGTTCCTCTCTACGAGTTCAGTTCAGATCCGTATGCTTAATTCACCACGATGCATACGTAGTGGAAAGTCTTGTTCCCTTCTTTCACTAATATTAGTATATTATGGGTCATGAAAATCTTCCGCGTACGAAAGTCGCTCAAACTCTGAAAGATCTGCATTATTATGCGTTGTCTCGGAAAAAGCATGTGTGTTTATCGATGAGGTCTTTTCATTTGTGCTCTAGTAGTGCTATCTAGTCAGTCTCATGTGTACTTAATCAATAATCTGTACTTTCCTTTCCCTGGAACGATTTCGATATGTGTGCATAATTGTTCTTGCACATCGCTCTTTTCACTCATCATAATGGAAAGTTCGCCTTAAGGATTAATATGAACCTTCTTATGAACGCTTTTCCGTGACATCCAAAAAGTTAAGGATCCTAAAGAATTTTTCAGAAAACCTCTAAATACGTTCTGAGGCTGCTTTCATTAATGGCGACATTGTAGAAATGACGAAATCGCCGATAGAGAAAAGAATGGGTGTCGAAAAAACCGCAGAACTGGGAGAAATGCAGAATTTGCAGAAATGGCGCAATGATGGATAACGACGATATGGATTGATCACTTAGACCTACCAGCGGGAGAAATGCACAAATTCTGGCAATTTCTGCAGATTCTGCATTTCTGCGTTTCTTGTGAGCTTTCCAGGTCGATAGAGATACATTCTTTCCTGTGCAGACTCTACATTTCTCCCAAATCCGCAGGTCTGCTGCACATTCTGCGGTTCGGCTTCTGCATCATGAATGAACGCGGCCTAACAGTTGCAATGAGTATCATGAAAAAGGAAGAAGGTAGCCGTGGAAATAATGCAGCAAAAATGCCTTTACTCAGCAGACAAAAAAAACAAAGCAAGACAAGAAAGAAATAACTTGTCGTAAACCACATTCTCACTCATTCTGCACAACGACCACAAATCTATGTACATCTTCCAACAGAGCGAATAGCAAAGCCCCGTGGACTGGATGGTTTCACTTTCTGGCAGCAAAGAGCGCAGCCACAATGCCAGCCACAACCACTGCACCACCACCAATGACAGCCAGTCCGAAAAGACCATCTAAATGAAGCACAACTATGGCGAGAGTAAGGCACAGGATAAAACATACAGGTCACCTAGTGACATCGTTTGTATCTGCACTCTTTGCAATAAGCATTTATTTTTTGGAAGTTTATTGAAAAGTCACAAATGCAAAGAAGATAGATAATCTGTGAAGAATTTTCCGAGTTCGAACGAATCGAGTAACATTTTGGGCCTATCGAACTGGTTTTGTTCATGTTTACGTATACGGTTGCAATGCGCATTGTTCACGCTTCCGCTGGCGCGACGAAGGTGTGGCTAAGTTCCTGCTACGGAAGGCTAAAACACTGAAGAAAGGAGAGCAGCTAGGTTTCGAACGGTACCAAACAGGATTTGTAAATAAGAAATATCGGCGTACGTCACCATCGAGAAAATTACGTGAGGGGGTGGGGGGGGGGGGAGAGGGGGGGGGGTGTCGTAGGCATAGGGCCACTTAACACTGACCAGGGAATTCTGCCAACTTACATGGAACTTTGAATGGAGACCTGGGTAGATCTATAGAGTCTATGAGGCTATACACAAATATAGATAACAAATGGAGGGTAACACGCAGCAGCTACGAACTCAAACATAAAGGTCATAGTGAAGTAAATCCGCAGTGGGTAAGGACTCATGCAAGCGCCTGGCTCCTCCTGTTTTTTTTTCACATCATTCAACACAAGTGTCAAAATCAGAAGTCTCATTTCCCTATAGGCTCAACGCAGTCCTAAACTATCATGGAACTTGCCTTTGAAGGCAATCTGCATGCTCAGCTAAGTCTCCACTTCTCTCCTGAAGTAGGTAATCTGTGTCGTGCTCCTTTCCTGGTCTGAAAGAGTGGAGAAATCTGGCCGCTACTTATCGCATAAGCCTATGAGGCTCTCAATTTCTCTGTACTGTTGTGTCGTTGCGCCCTCGCCAAAAATAGCTCAGAACCGAGCCAGAGTGGTTGAAAAATACATCCGACTCACACTGAGCGAATTTTAAGGTGCTGCGCGTGAAGTAGGGAGGGTAGTACGGGAAACATCGTTGGTGGGGATTCTCCAAAGGGAAGGGATGTCGTATTTAGCCGCTAGGAGGTGGGGGGGGGGGTCGTAGTGAGTGGGTAGCCAGTAACGTGCAGCGCAAAGGTGTCAATGTGCTGAGCCCTGTACTATAGTGAGACTTGTTGTAGAGAACCCAGTTATGTAAAAATACCAGTCGAATCGCCCGGCTGACGCCAAGCTCTCCTCCTCTTTAGCCCGGCTTCGCCAAGCTGGCCTGGCTTCGCCCGGTGAACTCCATAATGGAGGCAGAACTATTTCAATGGTGGGCTGCTCATATAGCGCTGTTGTGACCGAATCGTAACAGATAGAGCTAAGCTGCGAATCCTGCACTTCTTTGCACATGCTTATATTAGAGGAGAGGTGTGGTCAGCGCCATAACGCATATACAACACAGATCTGTAGATATAGATACAATGAGCAGTTGGCCAATACAGCGCGATATGAATCTCTCACTAAGAGAACAAATCCCGTTTCCATTACCTGTACTGGAGCCACTCCCCTTTCCAATTACCATGCAACTCGCTCGCTGAACTATAACTGTCAATAAGTACTGTGCTACCTTATTATTCGTTCTCATCTCATCGGTCATTGAAAGTTTGAAAGTAAAAAAGCTATATAACGCACGAAGTGCCACATTATTCATGTTTTCGGTTCTTCTCGAATTTCCCTGACCTTGCTGTTTCGGGCGAACTACATACTCTCTCCTCCCCCCCCCCCCGCTCATCGGCATTATATAGTAGGATAGCGGGATGGGTTCTTTTCCAGTGCTATCAGAGAAGCGATGCTGAAGGAAAAGTTTGCACACTGAACCTCTACTACTTGGCACTATAGGGGTAAGAAGTGATAAAAATGTAGTGCAATAGTATCTTATCAAACTCTATTGGTTGATATGATTACCTGTCACCCATCATCAATGTCCTTATCACTAAATCTTGATAATTTGGTGATGTAGAAGCTGCACCACCTTTAAAAGCGCGACGACTGAACGTTCCTTATCAGCACCTACCAGTAGCGCTTCTATTCACCCACCGTTGATGTTCCAATCTCTTCTATATCCTTGCTGAAACAAAAGCTTTGCTGATGTTGGGACGTGCGCTGTTAATATGATGACCTTCAGATGCAGATATCACTTCCTGTCACCTACCAATAAAGTTCCCGGACTATGCCTTCTAACATACCTTGAAATCAACAGCTAGCTGATGCTGTCACCCGCGTTATAAATATGGTGACTTCCCCCTTCTAACACTCCTTATCGGACCTTATCAAATGACATCACTTCCTCTATCCCACCAATAATGTTCCCGTCCGTCTCCTATATCATATCTTCGAATCAAGAGCTATCTGGTGCTGTCACCCATGTTAGGAACATGGTGACCTTCCCTTCTAACGCCTCTTATCGAATCTTATCAACTGATATCACTTCGTGGACCCACCAATAATGTTCTCGCCACACCTACACCACATCCCGGAACCAATGTCTCACTGCTACTGGGATGGGCGCTATGAAAGTCGTGACAGATGGACAAATGCACACACAAACACACACGGACATACTTAGTGAACCATATTTAGTAGGATAGTACTTTCATTAATCAGACTAATCCAAAATCAACTGGTAATATTAATAAGTTGACATCATATCGTAAGTACGAAGATGACTAAACAGTACAACTTGTACCCTGGTTCACTGCGGATGATGAGGCGTATGCACTGCACGCGACCGCGCTTGGCGCGGCGCCAACCTTTTTTCGTTCGACAAACGACAGGACTACCATATGATTCGTATCAGACCTTTTCGAGCAGTTGGTCTTTTTTATCGGACTCAGCTATCGGTGGAGCACGGATCTGGGGGCGTGCGACTGCCGTTCTCCATTCCGCATGATGGGGCGGGCACGCGACCTCCCTGAATCCTATAAACACTTCTGCTCGCGTAGACAGGCATTGCGTAGAAGATGAAGCTAATGATCGCTAAACCAACTACTGCCTGTTCCTATTCCACGAAGGGATGCATTCTAGATGCTGAATATCCGGATACGCCCACTTGAAACGGTACACAGAAAACGGATTTTTCGAGCAGCTCGGAGTACTCTTCAGAAAATCAGCAACGCGATTATCTCATGAATCCCATCGATCGCATCGAACGCGCGCCGAAGCGCTGCCGTCGCGAAGTCTGAACGCTGTCTAAGTGGTTTTTGGAAAGAGGAAATCTTTTAACATTCAACACTGGTTTTGGACTTGCAAACAGTTGTGTTTTCAGAAAATTATCTTCGCTCAAACCAGTACAGTTTGCACCCATTTCTGGAAATCCCCGACTCATCCCAACGTTGAATTCCTCTCCAAACTCGGGAAGCTTATAAACATTTCAGCATTTTTCGGAAGCTTAAATATTTTCCACGATGCGCCTTCCCGACGGTCTGCCTCTAAGGAAGTTATAACCCTTCAAGGACAAGTTGCTTCACTTAAGGTGGTCTAGGAAAACGCGCCCCGATGCAATCGAAGCACGAATGCGTGCCTTTTCGGTATTCAAGTGGCATGGCTGTCAGTTTCCTCCGCGTGCCCGAATTTGAACACGACAATCTGTAGCTTGGAGCAGCTTGGAGCACAGCATCCTGTGTGGTGTAGATCCACACAGCCATTCAGTTTCTGAGAAGAACTGATGATCCCCAAATCGCTCAGTTAACACGGTAGTGATGGAAAATAGTAAATAATCATTATAAATTCTGTAATTTTCACCTATTTTGAGTCGGGGCCTTGGGGCTTTCCATGTTAGCTGAAGTAAAACATGTATTAGAACACCGGAGTTTATCTAAACTAAATTCGTAGATAGAGGGAGCAGTTTTGCTGGGATCCCGTTTTGTGAAACGGAATGCTTGGAGTTTCACTCATACAGAAATTCTTCGGGCTGACGTTCAGTGCTGGAAGGTAAGAATCCAGAGGGAATTCGTAGCTTGCATTCGTTTTTTTTTCCACGTAGGTGTTGAAGAAAATGCAAATAAAATGGCGAAAAAAATAACAAACCTTAGAAGGGAAGGGGTCGTATCGATCCACCTTTTAGGGGGGGGGGTCGTACGGACTCGACCAAAATCCGCAACCAGTGACGTGCCCTGCTCGACGGTAAAATTTTTAGGTAAAAGTCGGAAAATTTTATGGAAATTCCGGAAGAAGGGTAGGAAGTTGGAGGAAAATCTGAGAAACGGAGGGGATCCTGTTTTCCTAGCGCTATTTCCCCTTTCACATGGGCTCGGCAGGTCGATGAGGAGGGAGCCAGGAGGGGAGGGGGTCGTACCAACCTCCTAAAAAAGGGAGTACGTCGTAGGGACTCGTTCAAAATCCCCAACTAATGATGTGCCCTGGGGTAGTACCAGACTACGTCCGCAACACTATAACTGACGCCAGCTGCTGGTTTTTAGGAGTCCAAACGGCATCACTCGAATGCTGCTAATGATGTGCTTAACGGCACTTTTTCTTTATATGAATGAACCGCCGCTATAAACTGGTGCGCTCCCATGATGACAGCACCGCAACCGCGTCGGAGAGTGCGATTGCAACAGGTATCTTCTTCTTCTTCATCTTCTTTAGCGTTTGTCCCGCTCAGCGGCGGGGTCCGCTCTTCTGATGTGATGACGCCACTTTTCCCGGTCAAATGCCTGATCGGGGTGAATGCCAGCTATTTTCAAGTCTGTATGCAACGTATCGAGCCAGCGCTGTCTGGGACGTCCCCTAGGTCGCTTTCCGGGCACCTCAAGCTGAAGGCCAGTCCTACAGACGGTGTCAGCGTTTGCGCGAAGTACATGGCCGTACCATCGTTTCTCGCATTTTGTCAGCTATAGGAGCTACGCCGAACTTCTTGCGTATTACTTCGTTACAAATGTGGTCCAAAAGCGTGACGCCCGCAGTCCAACGCAACATTCTCGTCTCCATCACACTTAGACGGGCTTCGACTTCTGGTAGCGG